GGAGTAATGGCCCTTCATATAGCTGTGTTCCTTTAGTCAAAAAGGAACTATACATGGGGACTAGTGGTCAGTGGCTACTTAAAAAAAAAAAAAAACAACGAAAATGACAGCTTGAAAAGCTGACATTATGCTTCTCTTTTACTAAGCCCCCACTGTCTTACAGGCTGAAGGTAATGGAATCCAAGTCTTCTAAAAGAGTGTCCTGACTCATGGCCATAACTTCCAGCCAGCCAGGATAAATTTGGTAGTGATCATGGTTTTAAATAATGGATTTCTGTGTTCCTATTTCCAATGGTAATATAAACTTACAATTTATACATTTCTTCCCTTCGTCCTGGCAGAAGGAATCTACCTTTTCTCGAATTGACCTGAACTACACAAAGCTGACATAAATTACTTCTTAAAACAAACTTTCATTAATGCTGGACCATGTCAGAGACCACAAATTATGCAGTATTTTCCCATTTCCTTTGTTTTTTCCATGGTCAGTGACTCTATGCTTTAGTTTGGTCACAGTTTGACAGGGCATCTAAGTCAGCAGAGTGAACGCCTTAGCATCTCCAGCTTAGGCAAAAAGGCCTCATTCAGTACAAATCTCAACTTGAGTAGGAAGTTGTCTGTCCTGTGGTCCCAGGAACTCATGTCTGCCCAAGGACCTGTGATTATCTACTCCCCCAGTCTCTGCACAGGTCTAAATCACCCTAAACTCCAAACCCCAGTTTATGTTCCACTCAGAAATTAACAAGAAAATTGGGCAGTTGGTGGTCAGAGATAAAAGCTGGGTTTTATCACTAGCATTCATCTCTATAACAATGACTTTTAGCCAAAGTGTACATGTACATATCAAATAGTACCAAAAGGTCACACAGAAAAACCAGAGCCTCTTAACCCACCCCTTCAATCCCATAATCCTACTGCCCAGGGGGACAATCGACTCTTTCAGCTTTTTCATATTTATGTCATTTATGTTAAGGCCTATATTGCTGTTTTCTGATTTATCACTTTTTGACATTATCTACACCTACCCACTTCTCCTCACCTGTCCTCCCATCCAGTTACTTGTGAACTTTGTGTTATATCAGTAGTGAGTGGTTATGTTATTATGACCATGGAAATATGGCTCACACAAAACTAATAGGTACAGTAGGACAATGTTTCTTGTTCATTTTTTAATTAATTGACCCTTGTTTTTATTTTATTTTTTATTTGCTCTTTCTCTGTGCCGCCTTAATTATTTCTGATTACTCAATTACATCTAACACATGTCTATTAGTGGCCTTTATTTTTCCCTGGGTGCTCAAGTGTATCAGATAATCCATCAGTTTTTTGCTTGTTTCCTAAAGATTTTCTCACTGAATCTCTCTCCATTCTTTCCTTACTGTGGGAGAAGGAAAGAATATGAACATCTAGATTAAAAAGGTCCACCCAACAGGTAGCTAGAAATAAAACAAGACATACAGGGGGCACAATATCATAAACTCATTGCGGGTAAAGAGAAGATCCCCAAAGTGTCCAGGGACACAGGTTGGAAAGGTGTAGGGTAAGGGGTGGGTGGAGAGGATGACTTCAGAGGAACGAGAGTCTGTACCTATCTACCTATGATTTTTTTCTACAACAACATTGGATTTTGGAGGATAACTGTTCAATGACTTCAGAAGGAGAATCATTTCCAGCTCAGAATTTTATAGCTAGCCGAAGTCTTGGTCAAGTGTGAATGGAAGTCTATTTTTAGAAATGTAAAGACTGAAGATATTTACCTCCCTTTCTGTAATGTGCTCGTATTAAAGAACAAAGTGAAACAAGGGAGAGAGGAATATATAAGATCTGGGAAACCTGAGTATCAAGACAGGCAAAGGGTAAAACAATCTCAGGATGACAGGTGCTTGTTGGGTGGACCTTTCAACCGGCCACTCCTGGCCTTGCCCTGCATTTGATGTGTTTTCTCATTCAATTCTCTCCTTAATTGTCCCTCCTGAACTGACTTTCTAAGAATCTTATCTTTGCTCTCTATGGTCCCATTCTTTTTCTTTGTAGCTTTTTCAACTTTGTTTTCTAACTTTCTGGTTTTCTGTTTTCTTTACAGCAATCATATAACAAATAAAACCTCTTATTCTGTGTTCCATTTTCATGGAGTATCTTGCTCTTATTAACATTAATGGGTGTAATATTTTTTCTGATCTTTCTGAGGGTATTAATAATATTTTTAAAAACATCTGTTCCCTGTATTATGCATTTGCTATAGATTCTGATTTTGTGTTTGTTGGTCTTGATAGCTTTTCTTTTCAATTTTAGAAGTTTAAAGGGGGACTGAAGAAAAATTACAGGAAAATTTCTGTAACAAAGCTGAAACTATGCCACAAAAATAAAGTATTTAAGGGGATCCTAATTTTTCCCACTTCTAATATACTCCATTAGTAAAAGTATATAGAAAATTCAAGGCTTATCAGAAAAGCAAACAAGAATAAATATGACTTTTGGAAATCAGTTTAATTCAGTTACTTGAAACTAATTAATGACAAAATAGCTATGACTAAATTTCAAAAAGTATTCTAAAAAATATGGGGATAGGCCTGAAAGGTCTAAAACAAGTTTGTAAACAAGAAGAATGGCAAACCATAAGGCTATGAATTAATCAATAAAATAGTTATACTTTTAGAGCTAAGTTTTTCCATCAGATTTTATAATATAAACTATAATAAGTGTTTTCTTATTCAAAAAATCTCAGTGATATTTTTTCCTACTCTTATTTATTTCCTTTTGAGCCAACACATTTATATAGAAACCTATGGCTGCCTGAGAAATACTTCTTAATCAGAGACATGGTCATAGCTAGTTATGAAATGCTAGAATAGAAAGCTAAATACAGTTTCTGTCACTGCTTATGACAATATTACTAATAAATACAATTCCAAAAATCTTGATCTTTTCCATTTAATGCCTTCAAACAGCTTCCTTTCTAGGGAGCCTTAAGAAGGTCATAATGGCAAAATTGAATTGCAATGGAACAAAGACTTCTGTGCACACATCATGGTGCTCTGCGGCTTCTCTCCAGGCTCTTGAAGGTCTTACTGAGTGGGATACCCTAAGATTTGGTGGTACTAAGTCCTTAACCCTCCTCCTTGTTTATTTATATTAAACAGACCTGGGGAAATTTCTCCATTGCTTATAATCAACAAAAAGTTTGGCCAATGTGTAATTTGGATTCTGAGGTGCCATAACCAAATTGACATATGATCCATATTGAAGGGTGTCTGCCAGATTTGAATAGCAGAGCGTTTATGCAGATACAAAATCACTTCGTAAAATGATTAAGACAGGAAAGAGAAAATGCTTAGCATTTGAAATAAAATAATCATGAAATAATGAAAACTAAACCATTTATCAGAAACTGATAAATATTTATTCAATGAATCCATGAATATAAATCAGCAAAAATAGGACTTGACACCTTAGGATTTGACCTAGTTCCTTGTGGCTTATTTTAGTATTTTAGTTTATACCAATCTAGCTATTATAAATGACAGAATTATCAAATTTAATGTATAACCCTCCAGGCCCATGATAAATTGAAGAGCTAAATTATCATCTAAACAAAGATCCATTAAGTAACATTTGAATCCCAATAGTAAAAATAAAAGTGGACTTTAAAAACACTCACATACACATTCTTCTAATATTCATTGACTATTAATGAGTATATGTGCCAAGTGCTAAGTAGAGTGCTGAGGAAACAGTGGTGAACATAACAGGCATCACTTCTACCCTCCCAAAGTTCACTCTTCGGTGGAGAGAAGAATTAGTGAACAAAAACCCATTCAAATAACAAATAACTCTGTAATTATCATTCGGAAAGGTTTTACAGGAAAACTGCATAGGACATTGTGGGTCCTCATAACAGAGACCACATTTAAAACTGTATATTCTAAAGCCTCTACGAGGACCTTATATACAAGCTGAAACAAACACAGCAGGGAGAGGAGGGGACAGATGGTGGGAGACGGCATCCTGGGGCCAATGGACCCACACCTTGTTGATACTTTAGTGACATCTTATCAAGATTTACACAGTATGCACAGACTGAAAGCTGGCAAGTATTCTTATTCTCTGTGTAAGATTCCATATTTCTGAACAGTTATATGCAAAAATTTTCTACTTCTTGATTATTTGCATTTTATTATAACTTCCTTTACTCACTTTATCCACAGTTACTAGCAATCTCCAAATAAAAAATTTGTTTAATTAAGATTTTTACTTTGGGCGGCATAGTTTTAGTTTTCCCGAGAAGTGTAAGGTCTAAAATGATGGGATTCCATATATTTTTTAGTAAATTTCATAGTATTATAAATATATTTGGGCATTATTTGTATGATTCATAATGAGAATTTTCTTAGACTTAGAATATGACTATTACTATCATGCCACTGGCCTCAAACTTTCTTTTTTTTTTTGGTGTGCTGTATTTTCTTAAATTTAATTTAAAAACTGGTCCAGGACTTCATTACTTACAGTTCAAGTGTGAAAATTGTGGACTAGACAGGAAGCGGTTTTGATCCAGCCAAGAGGATGAGAGATCTAACTCATGAGTGTGGGAACCTTCGGTAAAGCTTCTGCCCTCCTAAGAAAGAAAGTATGGCATTTCAGGTCAATGATTATAAATGTGCTGAAACTGCAATTAAATCTTTAAAAAAATTTTTTTTAATGAATGTAATTTATGTATTTTTTAAAAATTAATAAAAGGTACACACGATTAGGTTACACTGTTTGCATTTGTTAGGTAAGTCAGAGTTGTAGTTGAGTCTTTCACCACGGATGAAATAAAATCTTAACACACAAGCTATGTTACACATGTAGTTTAATACAATTGTAATCCTAGTAAAAAATAAAATATGTACATATTAAAAAATATAAGAAAAAAGAAAGAAATCACCCATTGCCGCAGCAGCATGACATATTTCTTTCCAGTCTTTTTTCCCCCCAAGGGCAGGATTCATGAACATAGTTATAAAATTTTGTGTTGTTCATTTATTTACATTTATACTATAAACATTTTTCAAGTCATTAAATTATGTTAATCTTTGGCTTATGGGTTACTCATATGCTATAGTGGATAGACTATGCTTTACTCAGCCATTATTATACTTGGCATTTAGGTGGTTTCTAGTGTTTTGCTGCTATAAATAACACTGTAAAAAGTATCTTTAAATATATAACCTTTTCCATATTTAGCATTATTCCCTATGACAAATTCTTAGGTGGAAATACTGGGTCAATAAAAACAATTTGATGTTTTAAATACATTTAGCTAGACTGCTTTCTGTAATGATTATATTCATCCTCTTACTCATTTAACAAATATTTAATACATAAACAAAAAGGAACATAGGAAAAGTTCATCTCCTCACGTATCGTACAAATGTGTCCTTCTCCCCAAACCTTAGCTGATAATGGGCATAACTTTAAGTGATTTTACTAATTAAACAGGTGCTTTAATATACATACACTTTTCTTTGATAAATAGTAAAATTGCACTTTGTAGCATGAATGTTGTGTAATTATTTATTTACTTCTTTCATTTATTCATTCATTCCACATCTATTATGTGCTAGGTAAAGAGAAAACAAGAGATTGGAATATATGATCAGGAAACATTAGGACCTGCAGAAAAGAAAGCCATTAAATTATACAATGCCTGATGTAATTAAAAACCATAATAAGTGCTATAAGAACAGGAAGTGCCAGGAAGAGCCAAAGCTAGATTTGAGAACCAGAGAAGACCATTCTGGGAGGTGATACTTAAGACAATATTTGAATGCTGAGTATGAATAATGAATGAGGCAGGTGAAAACTTGCGGGTAGAGGACAGGAAAGTGAAAGGTAAGGAGGAAGGAGATAGAGGGTAGTTAGGAAATGATGTTCTAGATTCCTCAAATAGAGTAAGGCCTCATGAAATGACCATCTGATGAATTAGCTGACATTCTCTGTACCAAGTACCAATTTTATATTTTATTTCTTTGTTACATACATTGTATATAAGTAAAAAAGACAGGTCAAAAAGGCCAGTGTGATGGTGTTACAGGAGTTATGATCTGGCCATTGCACTCCAGCCTGGACAACAGAGTTAGACTCTTTCTCTTAAAAAAAAACCCAAAAAGCCAAAACAGCTAATTGTAGTATTTGTAAAAGGCACATTGCTTCTGAGCTACAGGCATAATCCTCCAGTGGTTCAAAATCAGAAGACCATTTGCCTTCATGTATGAAAAGAGAGGTTAAGTAGATTTAAGATGAAGACCCTGAGATTTTTAAGGAAGTGGTTTTTAATTATAGAGATTTCATAAGAAACTAGAAGCCATTCATTGTAGGATTTCTGAAAAGACATATACTGTATTCCAACGACTTCTTTAGAATGAGTTGACACACACACACTAGAAGCAGGTGGATGGCTATTGTAGCCCAGATGTGACATAATCAAGGCCAAGACAGAGATGGAAGATGCATGAATGAAAGGAGACGGCAATCAGTGCTAGAAATTCCCAATGAACCATGGTTTCCCTGTGAAGCACCAAAGAGAGAAACAAAATGAATGGCTTTCCACTAAAAGATACTTTGACCACTATGGGTGATAAGAGAAAGAAAACCATACAGGAAAACAAACACACATTTTGCCCACTGACACCTGAACTGAGAAAGAAGGTGAGAGGACAGGAATAGAGATATAGGTTTGGGTATCTTGCTGGAGCAGATGGTGTCATGGCGGCCTAAAAATGTGCCTACCAGAGGAAGGACGAAGTGCACAAAGATCTTTAAACACTATTCATCTGTCTTGAAAGGCATGATTTTAAATTTCTAAAACAAAATCAACTGCATCAAAGCAGTTGCATCTTTTCTGTTTATATAAAACATAATTTATATTTTTAATGATAAAGCTAGTTTCTTCACATAGAATAGTCAAAATATGGCACTGATGTCTTTCATTCTTATCAAATTTAGAAAAGTCAAGAAAATTAAAAAGAAAATAAACAACCTAACAAATTAAAATAAAAATGTATTAAGATAATAAAATGTCAGAGTACACTTTTCAATTCTTAATAAATTTCTTTTTATATTGAAACCACCATTTGTTACCAATTTTGTTCCTACTTTTTAAATGTAACATTATATACAAAAATTTTCTCTACCGTTATTATCATCATTACAATTATCTCATCATTTATCTTACTAATTTCCTATTGTTGGAAATTTAAGGTTGATTTAAGGTTTTTCTATTATAAATGATCATTTGATAAACATCTTAGTGCAAAAAGCCTTGTCTATATATTTATTTATTATAAATTCCTAGAAGTAACGTTCCTGGATAACACATTCGGTTGTCAAATTTTTGCTAGAGTTGTTCATAATATTCCCTAATTATCCTTTTGATGTCATTTGGAGCTCTAGTAATGTTCATCCTTCATTCCTAATACTGACCATTGGTAGCTTGTCTTTTTTTCCCCTAATTATTCTGGTTAGAAGTTCTTAAATTTCATTATTTTTTTTTTCAGTAAACCCAGTTTGGGGTTAATTTGTTTTTCCTATTTTTTCCAATTTTTATTTCATTGATTTCTGAGCTTCTCTTTACTATTTCCTTGCTTTTACTTTCTTTGAGTTTACTTTGCTCTTTGTTTTCTAGTTTCTTGTAATGGAAACTTAAATTATTGATAAGATCTTTCTTCTTCTGTAATATACACGTTTTACGTTACAGATTTCCCTCTGGGGAAACTTTTTAGCTGATCCCACAAATTTTAATAAATTGGGCTTTTATTTTCACATCCTCAAAATATTTTCTAATTCTCCTTTTCATTTCTTCCTTGACCTACCCATGGATTTTTAAGAAGGATGTTGTTTAATTTCTGAATACTTGGGAACTTCCCAGGTACTTTTCTGATATTGATTTCCAATTTCATTCTCTTGTGGGTAGACAACATATTTTGTATAATTTTAAGCATCTTAAATTTATTGAGATTTGCCTTATCAGCTAGAATAAAATGTATCTTGGAAAATGTTCAATATGCACTTGAAAAACATGTGTAATTAATTGGCTGTTGTTGGGAGGTAGTAGCTACAAATGCCAGTCAGATTTAGTTGGTTGATAGTATTGCTCAAGTCTTCTGTATCTTTCCTGATTTCTGCCTACTGTTTTATCAATTACTGAGAAATGAATGTTGACATCTTCAACTACAATTATGGATTAAAATTTTTATAAATCTTCAAAAAACTGCCAGAATCTCCCTTGTAACAGAATAGCAAAATAAACTTTAAAAGACTACCCTTAAAGAAAAAAATTCACAGTCACTTTGAACAATCAACATAAAAAATATGAAAAAATACCCGCATCTCGTTCAATTCTACTCAATTCTACTGCATTCTATTGAACCAATACTACTAAAAATCTACTGATATTTAATTTGTAGAATTTCTATATAAGTAAATTTTATAGGGTGACCATAAAATGAATATTTCTTCCTAATTCTAACTTATCTTTGAATTAAATACTTAAGTAGTAACAAGAAAATATTTTCTAAAAAGGAAGTGTCTCTGTAATTTTAATAACCCCAGTTTTTGCTTGTTAGCGTATCCTTAGCACAAGGACCTATTTTCATTGTTTTCTTGACTCAACTAGGTCATTAGCCAGAATTCTCTACAAAAATTCCATTGGGTGAAAGGACTTGCATTTTCTAATATTTTCCCTGGGCTTCATCCACTTTTTTTTTTTTTTTAAATCACCACATTGTAATTGGTTCCTTAAAAGCTGTTCTAACCTAACTACATTTCTTCGCTAAACTGATCTCTAGTGATTAATATTTAATGATGCCATGTATTTTTCTCTCAGGAATATTATAAGTTCAAAGTTTATTAGACAAATGATACATTTAATCTTTTCAAATTTTAATTTATCCAACTACTCCTCTGGAGAGAAGGAAGAAACATGTATGCATTTCTGGAGCTGTGGCAGAAATATTTGAATTTGAATTTGTCTGTAACCTAACAATGCACTGTCCCTGCATTTCAGCCCCACTTTGATTTCCCAGTTTTCCACTAGTGATCAAAAAAGCTTAATCTCTTCCTCATTAAACTTTACTTCAATTTTAAAGTCAGTTGGGGCCATTTTAGATTTTAATTTCCAGGAGAGTGAGCTTTAGATAGTTTTTATCTATCTATCTATCTATCTATCTATCTATCTATCTATCTTTCCATCTACTCGTCCAAATACTCCACAATTTGGCACAGTGCCATCTGCAATAAGAAACTCAATAATTGATCACATATCATTTCTTGGCAAAAATGTATAAGTTAAAATTTGCTATAGAAACTGGAAGAAGAATGCTACTCTTACATTCTCAGTTTCTTCATGTAAAAAAATTAGGGGGCTGGACCAGATCATCGCTAAGTCCTCTTAGATTTTTTATACTAATCTATCTGGACAGAACCAATAAACAACCTGTACTTTTAACTCTGCAAATTATTTTTACCACATGAAATCCAAACTGATGCAACAAGATGATAAACTCAAAACAACACTCATCTACCAGATTAATAGACTAATGAAAATACTGATAAGGCCATTTAAAGCTCTTAGAG